AAGTTTGTATAATAATTGTATTATTATGTAAGCTTTTATAAAATAAAAAAAAAAATAATAAAAAATATAAGAATTTGTCTATTACAATAAATATGTAGCCAACGGTCTTTTTGCATTTTACTTCCTTCCCAATATGAATAAAAAGACATATATTCATTTTTGTTTAAATAATTTGGGCAAGGTTTTATTTCTAAATACATATGTATGTATGTAAGTATTATTTAAAACATGTGTAAAAAAAATATATATATGTTTAAATAATATGTTGTAATGCTGTTCTTTAACTGTTGGAACTCGAAAAAATAAATTAAATTAATATACATATATGCACCAAATTTAGTAAATTGCGAAATTACTAATTTTTTTCGGTTGTCCAGTTCTTAATTTCGTCTTGCTTGTTTATGTGAAACAGCTGTTTCACTGCATAGTGGTGTCGAACTAATGTGGCAAGTGGTTTGTGCTTTTTTCTTGTCAAATTTGTGAAAGAATAACTTCACAGCAAACCTGTGCAGCAAACCTAAAAAACCAGTTGCGAGGTTTTCTCAGAATAGGGATTTATTTTGTAACGGCAATATCTCCCAGATGGCAATGAACATCACTCTCAAACTGCCTAATATATTGCCATTGCGGGATAACCTTTCTCGAAATGGGGTGGGGCAGGTAGGTTCGGGCTGACATGGAGCATGCTTTGAGCTTTTAAATTTATTTTAATATGTATGTGGAAAATTAAAAAAGCTTAAATGTAAATTTTTAGGAGTGACCCACACTGTTTTCTAAGYAGATTACTCCTATTCAAAAATTGTGGACCTCCTCGGACAGACAGTGGGCGGACTGTACAGTGGAAATAGCTTAAAATTTATCTTTTATAATAAATTAAATTGCAATATGAATATTGAGAAAAAATATATGTTATATAGCATAGTAGTATATATTTCAGCTACAACTTTTCGTTATTAATGACATTCGTCCAGACCACGATTTTTTTAATGTTTTTTTTTCATAATTTTTTTGTATATATGTGTATGTATGTATGTATATACGTTTAAATTCTATTATTTCAGTATGGTTTTTTGTCGTCATATATAGAGATGGCAACGATTAATCATATGTTTAAATTAATCGATTATTTAAATTCGATTTACGATTTAATTGCATCGAAAGACCTTTTCTAATTACTCCACTATTTCTGGAGTAATTGCAAAATAATCGCAAACAGCATTTTGAAATTTAATACATTTTATGTTCTACATCTAAGTAGAGTACAAGGGTCGAAATTGGTCGSACCAGTCATTAATGACTTAAAACTGTGTAAACATGGTTAAATTCTAATATGTCAACGTAGTTTAATATCAACAAATGAATGTCTGGTTTAGTTGTTTGAAGAGCAATGGCGTCAGTTGAAAGCGAAGTGTGGAGATTTTCTAATAAAATGAGCAATAACTACGTTAAATATGAACTTTGCTGCAAAAATTTAAAATTTTCTAATAACACATCAAATAAGTTGCAGCATTTAAAATTAAAGCATGCAGCTGTAGCCTGCAAATTGGTGGTAAGTTGGATATCTTCTAGTTATACATAAATATATGTGTACAAATATAGGTGATGATGAGACTGACACCATGATTGAAATGCCGAGTTGCAGCAGCAAACCAATTAATAAAAGCCCTTTGAAAGAGGGGCCAAGCTTCAGCAGCAGGAAACCGAATGAAAGCAGCGTGAGAGAGCTACCCAGCTGTAGCAGTAAAAATCCTCAATCCCTCATTGCTAACGTCTTCAAAAATATTAAAAACTTTTCGCTCCATGGCTCAAAGAACCAAAAGCTACAGCATGGAATAGTGGAAATGGTTATCAAGGATAATCTACCTTTTGACTTTGCTGAAGGTATATTAAAATACAATACAAAACAAATTGATAATTAATGACGTTTTTTGTTCATTTATTTTTTAAAAAGTAAAGGCTTCCTAAGTTTCATGAAGCAACATTTTCCTCTTTACAAATTCCCAACAAGAAATACCATCAAGGCTCACATTGAAATGTGCGATGAAGAAAAAGAAAAATGTGTAGCGATGCTAAAAACTTTTTTATATTTGAGTTTAACGACAGATATCTGGACAGGTGTAGAAATGAATAACATGCTTGGTGTGACCATTCATGGTGTAAATGGGGCGAGCAATTTAATAGAACAATTGGCGTTAGTAAATTAGCGGAAGCACATACTGCATCACATATTTCCGAAGTTCTCATTGCTGCTTTGAAAGACTTTTCTATTGACGAAAAACAAGTAATGGCTGTAGTTACCGGCAATAGTGCAAACATCGTACATGATTCTTTTGGCAAAAAACGCCATATTACTTGTTTTGCACACACCCTTAATTTGGTATATGAAACTCACTGAAAAATCCTGAAGTAAATGCAGTTGTTGTAAAAAGCAAAGAAATAGTTAAGTGGCTAAAAAGAAGTGCTAAAGCTAATGATGATCTTCGAAATATGCAAGCTGCTGCCGGTGTAGCTGAAGGCAAAATGCTAAAGCCAATTTTGGACGTGAAAACACGTTGCAATTCGACCTACTACATGCTTGAACGGTTCATTAAACTATGTTTATACATATATTAACCAAATACTCCTCAACTATTCTGACGCACCGGTAACGATAACATCTAAGGAAAAAGATGATATCATGGAAATACTCAGTATATTCAGACCATTAGAGGCCATTACTGTACAACTAAGTGGTGAGCAACGAGCAACGTTAAGTCACGTGATTCCATTAGTTCACTGTGGTCGGAAACAAGTAGTGAGGAGGAAGGACAACAATTTTACATCTCCACAAGATGAATTGAGCTTTTATTTGAATTGTCAGATATTAGAACTAAGTAGAAACACTATTGTTTCTTATTAAGAAATGAAAACCGTTTAGCCAAAACTGTAAGGACTTTCAAAAAAGTACTGGCATCTACTTGGCCTCAGTACCAGTTGAGCGGCTTTTCTCAAAAGCGAGTGCAACTGCGACCGAAAACCGCAATCATTTGACAACAAAACCTTTATCGAAATTGCTTTTTCTTCAAACTTGGTTGAACAGAGAATAAATTTTCTTGACTTCAATGAATATATCTTCTTTTATGCTAAGACAAATGAATTTTTAAAATGATATTTTAATTTTATTTCCGTTTTTGTTTTTGTGTATATACCAACATAATTTGAATGTCTGAAATAAGAATATAGTCTCTTATATTTTATTGGTTTTATTTTTACGCAAAGTTGCAAATCTTTCAAGCAAGAGGCAATTCTTTTACTTTAAGATTGCCGTACATATTTTGAAAAATTTAATGCCATTGTGCTACTTAACTTCAAATATAGGCCATTTTCTCTTTGAGGATATGTCTGAGACTCTGTGATAGAGCATTATAATACAAGATTCGGCGCTGAAACTTGGTGGTGGTCTTTATGCAATGAAATATGAAAACATTGGAATTAATCAATTAATCGATTTTTTTACACTAATTGCAATTATTTTTTTTATAAATATTGCAATTAATCATTTGATTATTTAATCAATTAAAAGAAAATTTTGCCATCCCTAGCCATATATACTTCAGCAATGGTTCTCATTTCATCATTTCCTCATTTTTATCAAATGTTTATTTTATACGTACTTTATCTAGGCACATCATATCGGTGTAAACTTTAACGCCTATATATTTTTGAATTGTGGTGTTTACAAAATGTGAAAAGTAATATCACTTATCACCGAAGCAAATTTAATAAGGTATCAGTGTCTACTTATTAAAAGCTTCGTTAACAAAAATCTTGATATTAATTTTTACCCTGCTATGATAGCATTTTAAATGAAAATCAGTTATCCTGAGCAAATAAAGTGCTCAGAATCTGATGTTGAAGTTGAGATAAAAATATTATTGGAACACACTGAGTCACGAATGTAATTAATGAACGCAATGAGTCCTCTCATTACTTATTATTATTAATAGGAAAAGGTGGCTATTTTTGCAATTTTTCTGAGCAAGTCAGTAATTTATTTGTCACGACATACTATGTCTCTTTATAACTAATAATAAAATCACAAAATGATGAAGAGCACAAACAAATTTGGAAAAATTCTAGACCTCCGTCCACCCTTCGTCTTGTATGATTTAAATTCAAAAATAAATTCAAGCAACCCTAAATTCAYTAGATTTGCGCTAGATTCTGCAGGATCATTAACTTGAAAATATTCCTGGTATTTCTTCATTCGTCAATCCACAAAATTTCAATTCACGCATTCAACATCGGAATTATTCAAAATGCATCAGTCTCAATTCGAGAGCTCTCAGAAGAATATGCGGAGTCAAGCAATAAGGACGTTAAATGTATCGACTTCATCATATACGAAAGAACTATTCTCTCAATCTAAGATCCTTTCATCACCAGTCAAAGAAAACTATCATGCTAAATTAAATCAATTTTACTGAAATCAGTTTTTCATTTAATTAAATAACATTCAAAGATTTCTCTTTTCGTTTGTCAACTTTGAAAATTTAATAATATTAATTAAAATTCGTTACCATGGGGAGGGTGGCGGAATGAGAAACGGGAGAGGGACATTTTAAGAAGCTTTGGCAAAAGTTTTACTTTAATATAAGCAGTGGAAGTATTATATTATATTTTGGGCGCTGATTCCATACAAGACCGACCACTGTGCGTTGTTCCAAAGATACCTTCCTTGCCTCCTTCTTCTTTATTGACGCAGACACCGCTTACGCGATTACAGCCGAGTTAACAACAGCGCGCCACTTGTATCTTGTTTTCGCTATGTGGCGCCAATTGGATATTCCAAGCGTAACCAGGTCCTTCTCCACCTGGTCCTTCCAAAGGAGTGGAGGTCTTCATCTTCCTATGCTTCCCCCTGCGGATACTGCGTCGAATACTTTCATAGCTGGAGTGTTTTCGCCCATTCGGGCAACATGACCTAGCCAGCGTAGACGCTGTCTTTTAATTAGCTGCCAATGTCAATGTCGACATATATCTCTTACAGCTCATCGTTCCACCGAAGCGATGTTCGGCGTGGCCAACGCGCAAAAGACCACAAATCTTTCGCAGAACTTTTCTCTCGAAAACTCGCAACGCCAACTCATCAGTTGTTGTCTTTACTTCTCAATTGCCTTCTCAGTTCGAAGTAGCATCTGTTGGCAAGAGTTATCTTGGGTTGGATTTCCAGGCTGACCTTGTTGGTGGTGTTTATACTGGTTCCAATATAGACGAAATTATCTACGAGTTCGTACGATTGTGGAATCGGGCGTTTGCCTTCTCCTGACGTTGTACTTTCACTGCCATTCAGAAGGCTGGAGAAGTGTTCCCTCCATAATTTTAGTATGCTTGGGGCATCGATCACTAGATCACCTTTGGGGGTTCTACAAGAGTATGCTCCGAGTGCTCTCAGAGAGCAGGAGTGTAAGTCGAGTAGAAAATCGATAAGTCATTATCTCCACCCACTTATAATTATGCTAAAAATATAGAAATAAGATTTACATACAAAATATTAATTCGACTATTTTAATTCAATGTGTAGAAACTACGAAGAAGGTTAGTTCGATGAATTACTACCCATATGGTTTAATGATTCGATAAAATGCTGACAACTATTTGCTGCAACAGTACTGTGTTGACATGAACGTCAAAAAAGAAACGGAGTGCTTAAATGCCATTCGGTTGAACTAAGCCAAACTAGGTTTTGAGGAGTACATCCATTTCCGTGATGCAATTAGAACGGAATGAAATGTAGCTAAATTTGATTGATTAGCTCTTCTACCAGTGAGGTACATAGGAAGTTCACGTATATATACATATATATGCGCAAGATGCAAACACTTGTACTTTACAAGTCTAGACTATATACTTTACTTTTGCTAGTAATTCAAAACGCATTGAGATTAATAACACATCTTCAGAAAAAATCGATGAACTCGAGAAACGAGGAAAGATTCCATCCGGAAAAAATCGACAATGCAATGTGCCGAGATTCTCGATCACGAAGCTAACGATGGTTACCACTATATCTGCGATGATCGAAAAAAAAGAATCGATTTCAATATATTCGCATTCCTTATTCATGAACGGCACCCTACTGTTTTGCATTTGGAGAATGGCCAAAGATTATATTTTACGGATTCGAATGTTGTTCAACATTGACCAATTTCTTTGAGATCTGCCAAAGCGATTCATTTGACCGAACTTTGATTTACTCGGAGATGCCTCGTTATTATACTTGGAATGCTTGATCGAAAAATATTCAAAAACGCAAGCAAGGCTAAGCTATTCCTGGTTATCCGGATTCGCGTTCTACTGATGCTGTTGGGCATATGTATAGAGTTAATCATGAATGCTTCTTTTTGCGGTTGTTGTTGATAAATGTGCTTTCAATTGAACTTAAATTTTTGAAATTTCTACTTATAAAATGCCTAAACAAAGTTTAAAAAGCAACATAATTGAATTTAAAATAAGTTMTGCTATTCAGGAAATGGACTTTATTGAAGGTATGTGCTTATTAAATAATCCGAATTTTAAGAGTTAAAAGATTCTTTGTATAAAATTTGCAGACATCTTGCRCCCTGAACAGTGTCACAATGCAATTGTAAAMAAAAAACAGCTGTTAATAGCAGAATTTCCAATTAGAAAATATAAATGGAAATGCCATTGGCTTAGATTTATTTATTTTTTCTGCTGCCATTTAGTAAAACTCCAACGACTTTCTAACACTGGAAATAA